GGACGTCCAACTAGCTCGTAAAGGTGTGATGGTGTGATGGTCAGATGTCTATTTACTTTTGGCCTCATAGTGTAAATACAGTTGTATGCAAATGTTTAGGCACCCAGTCTTTTTTTTTTATTTGGTGTGTGAAGTGAAAATAAACACACATCCTCCACAGAGAACACGCTTCTGCAAATTTTACTGCACAAGTACTGTTTCTTTATATTTCACATTCAACAATTAAGCATATTTGCAGGGGGGAAATAATACACAAAATGTGGTCTGTGTAAAAGTTAGTGCATTTTATGTTTTATGTTAAACTCAACAACTAAACAGAAATTGTGTACAAAAAATTGCAGAAAATGGCCTATTTAGGTTTGCTATTTATTATGCGTCTCGTCTGTGATGCTGTGTGTGTGTGTGTGTGTGTGTGTGTGTAATATATATATATATATACACATACAAAAATATATAAAACATATATAACATATAAACATTCTTTACTGTTAATGAAAGTCAGTGAAATCAGAATTTTTTACAGGTCATTTTGGGCTGTTTCTTTTGGTCCATTCTTCATGAAATTTATGTAAATTTATGAAAATAATGTCAAAAACTGAGGTTTTCTTCCAACAGCAGCTCTATATATAAATACACACACACACACACACACTCACACACACACACACACACACACAGTATCACAGACGCATGACAAATGCTCTGCAGCCGACGACAGTCCTGAAAACTAGGTTTGCTCAATCTTCTTATATTTAAAATAAGATGTCGAAAACTAACGTAACTGATATTGAAGACAAGATTTCGGTACTCGATTAAAAAAAACGTTAAATGATCCTTTACTGCATTCTACTATTGTTGTTTTTTCAAGCTTAAGATCCGTCTTGCAGTACCTGCTTCTTAAGAAAGATATCCTGTTAGCTGTGTGTTTTGTTGCGTTACTATAGTGAAACGACCAAGTGTTGAAATAGTCACTAACCAATTCTACCAGCAGTGTGAAGATGTGAGAGCGGAACGTGTCTGGGCTTGTCTTCATGTGTGAACAAAACAAAGAACCTAGTCTCTATACTGCCACAGAGGAAGGTCAGTAAGTGAGCAGACAGTGGACACCCGGCTGTGATACGTCGACAGATCTATATGGCTTAATTGTGTGTGTCCTTCCTGTGTCTAAGCATTCATTTCTCAGTATTACCAGGAGTAGTTTTGTCGTGAGCTTGTAATAAACCCCCAGCAACTGATGTCAGCCGTCTACATCTAATCTACTACTGTATATCTGTGGGTGCTCAACAGGAAGGTGCTGAGTACAGTCATTATTTTAGAGAAGGAGTGTAGGGAGGGCTAAGAGATGAAGAGATGAAGGCCTGTGGCTTCAGACACGAAGCTGCAATATTTCACAAAATCTGCTGACAGCTGCAGCGCTGCCTGTACATATGTGTGCATGTGAGAGAGAAGCTGTAATCGCATCAAAATAGCATGTCTGATGTTTTAGATGGTAAAAGACTCTGCTTACCTCAGCTGTACGAGTTTTTTTTGGGTCTTTGAGGTCCACGAGATGGTTTAGATAGGCCAAATTGTCTGTGCTCTAATGTTGCCTGGTGCATATATGAATAAACACGTCGCTGATGACGGAAGAAAACCTCGTATCTCCATTTTTGTCGTTTTTCAGTTTTTGACATAATTTGAAAATACCTGTTGTCCTTTACGTTGTTTGTAAATTTCATGATAAATGGACCAAAAGTTTGGTTCCATTGACTTACATTAAAAGTAAAGTGGGATTTTTCCTTCTCCTGTAAACATTTTGGAGATACAAGGTTTTCTTCCGACAACAGCGACATTCTGCTGTTTAAGGAACAATACACTGAAAAATCAAGTTGTGGCCAGTCTGCAAAGCCATGTTTGGTGTCTGAAGGTCTCTGTTTTAGGTCTGTTTGAGCAGTTTATTTGCAGAGTTCTGCAGGTTTACATCCAAAAAGGCTTTGTACACTTCTGAGCTCACGATCCCATCAGTTAACATAAGCCCACTGACAGATATGCAGTCTGTGCAGACTGTGTTTTAAGCAGGCTCAGCCTTTTTACAACACTGAGTTTACATCTCCGATCAAACTGATGTGCTAAAAGTGTTTTTTTCTGAACTTTACAGAACATTAAAGTTGACTGATGGTTAAAGTGTCCACATACTTTTGAGGAGATTACTGTATATACTATATGTATATATGTATACCCATTCAGACAGATATGGTTTAATCCTAATGCGTTAATTGGCCTCATCTGGGGTGTTACAAGTATGGAGCCGGAGGTCTTCTGTCTGTGTACTGTGCTGTTCTGTAGTGACCCCTTGTGGCTGTGTTGAGTTCCAGCACTTGCAGCGGTGCCAAACTGTGCTCCTGAAGAACCGAGGCACTGCGCAATTTACACTGATGTGCCAAAAGTCATGGATAGCGGTGTGTAAATCAATTACGAAGTGGTGTTACCTCAGGGGATGCCTTGGGAACACCCACACCTG